AAATAATAATAATAACTAATAACGACAGCAACCTGTGACAGTCAACCGGACACAGCGGTCACAGAGTGGGCACAGACCTAGAGACCCGAGCTAAGGACCTAAGGCTCAGTAGACGGATGACAGCGCATCAGAGGTGAGACACAGGTAGCGCCCGCTCTAACGCACTCGACTGACGCCGGGAGTTGACGGTCACAGCGAATGACCAACTAATCGGCATTCATGTTGCAATATGATATTCTCGAAGCGTTTCCATCACTCAAATGGTTAAAGATATGTGATTGCCGTCAATACACACTTCAAGGGTTCCGCCAATTGGGACAACTCTTGTCGGGAAGAGTCACTAAATTAAATGTAAAAATTTGTCGCATTTCATGCCATCATACAATTCATGCCATTAAATGTATGATACGAGAGATGAATGGTTTAATAAAATTAATTATAAGATTTAAAGAACGCTATTCTATGTCAGAATTAATCAAATGTTTGCCTAAAAGTATGAAATCATTGAGCGTTGGATCTAATTATGCGAATGTAATCGACAACCAAATGGTGACAAATCTGTTGGAAAGTAATGCAAAACATTTGCAGTATTTATACATTGAAAATAATTACGTGACCGAAGAGGCGCTGGAACTGATCATCAATGGTATGGCACTGAAAGGTATTTTATATGCTTTACAACTCCCGTCCAATCAATGGAAATGTATACAAAAATTGGCTAAAAAACAACCAAATCTTGAATTCATTGGTCTCTATAATCAAGATTTTGGTGATTATGATTACACGAGAAAATTACTACATTTTTCAAATGTAAAAACACTTTATCTCAGTTCATGTTTTCCCGAAGAGCAGGCATTTGTATCGCTATTGAAATGCTTGCCTCATCTCAAAACACTTGTCTTATGCAAAGTTTCCATTATTTTAACCATATTTATTTAAATAATTTTTATAAAAGTTACATTTAGAAAATCTGAGAAATTAAAGTTTTTAAACGCAAATTGTATGTAATATAAATAAATTATAATACGTTAAACATATTTTAAGTAAACAATGTATTGATTATATTAATTAGATATAATACATGTTACATGGTTAATTTATTAATTCAATTAATCATTTAATAATTTTTTATTTATTGAAAATAATTCCCCCAAAACTTATCGCAATTATCATAATATGCATCCCTTAGCACACGTTGCGGTACGTATGGACTGAGATCTTTAAACATAGACACTGGGCTACCGGTGCTGATAATTGTCGGCCATTTCTTATCCGGATTACTATAATAGACAAAAAACAAAACAATTAAACAACTTTTCAAAACAAACAGTACAGTTAAACCCGAACGCAACGAACCCTGTCTTAGCGAAATCAATCCACATCTTAGTGACAGTGCGGGCGAACTGTGCGTCCAGTGGTGTGAATGTCTTGGGATACATCAGCGGTACGCCAAACATGAACTCCTCTTCGGCCCCGTGACAGACACCCATCTGCGGGCCGACACAACCCCAGCGGTAAGCGTTCAAACTCTGGTACGAGATGTCGAAGAAGTATACTCTCGAGTCGGGCGAGTGTTGGGCGTACTGTCGGGCGAATAGATATGTCGGACACCTCATCGACACATCGGTGTAGAGCTCGTAGAAAGCGGTCTTAAGCTCGTCGGAGTTGCCGGTGTCAACGTTGCGCAAATAGAACTCGGTCATTTTGGTGGCGTTCACATCGTGCAATTCAATGGCCGCCAGCTGTACAAGTGTTGTGAACATTGCCTTGGTCACATTACCATCTAATAACTGGGGTACAGCATATTTGGCCAAGCTTGAGCCGTCACGGTTGGCCACACCGGCTATTACATCTATGTCTAAATGTTTGGGTAAGTTATGGTGAATATGGTTAATAATAAATCATGTAAAGTTATCAAGTTAAATATTGTACCAGGATTAAAATGGTGTGCATTGAACGCAGTGATGGGTAATTCGGGCAAAAAGTCTGTGTTGTCCTGTAAGGGGTATACAGTGGTCGGTGTCTCACTTTTAAGCCGCTCCGCGTCCACGGCTTTCAAACACTCTAACCATTTGTCTTCATCTGAACTGCAATTCAGGTTTTTGGCCACAGATTTGGCCAGAGATAGGGCTTCGGGTCGAGTAATTAAACCACGATTTTTGTTCATAATGTCGGCCCCGCTCTGCATAATAGCCCTCTTGAATAGACCTTTGGATAGCGGGGAGAGTATGTGCGCCGATACGGACCAACTGCCGGCGCTGTGACCAAAAATGGTGATCTGATCCTTATCTCCGCCAAACTGATGGATATTTTCTCTAACCTATTATTAAATCATTAACTCATATATTATTTTGTTATTAAATAGTAATTGTAATAAAATTGATACCCATTTAAGAGCCAACACTTGGTCGAGAAAACCGACATTTCCGGGCGCCGTCTCGTCCGCCCCATACGTGAAGCCAAACAAACCGAGCCTATAGTTTATGGCCACAAACACCACGTCATTGGCCGCCAAATACGTGCCGTTAAACCAGAAATAGTCGGGCGTGTGTTGAAAGCTGGAGCCGTACTGAAACCAACCGCCGTGTATCCAAAACATTACCGGTTTCAGTGCCGACCCGACCCCCAGTCCCTGCGCTGTCCACACGTTTAATGTGAGACAATCCTCACTCATCGATAGGTTTCCGAAATAGTCTTTCAAAAAGTCGTTTTTCTTTTGAAGGCAAGCCTTTCCCGTTTGTGTCCCGTCTATCTCTCCCTGAAATTAATTACATTTTTAATCACAATTCGCAATCAAAATTGATGTTTATAAAATCACATTGTTAATTTGCAATATATTGTATACAATTACAGACATAACAAAGTACAGTACTATAACATGCTTTTTGTATTATAATATTTATTTAAAATTTTATATATTAAAAAGTTTCATGTAAAAATGTCTAGACTTTACCGGTTTGGGTGTTTTGATGGATTCAGGACTGGCGAACCGGAGTTTCCCGACGGGTGGTTCGGCATAAGGTATACCCAAAAATTGGTCAATATTTGTGTCAAACGCCCGTATGGTCTGACCCTTCACTGCACCCGATGTGGTCTTAATGACAACACCGGACGAGAGGCTAATATTATTAGCAAAGCATATAAATAGCGACAGAATTAATATATAATTCATATTGTTTTAAATCACTTAATAACAAGTGTATAAAAATTTTGTTTAATTCAATAAGTTATTAGATTATAATAACAAATAGTTTATTATTATTAAAGTTAACAAAATCCGACTGAGTTTATATACCATCCTAAAATTGCTTAACCCATGTACTTGTACATGTACCCATCGGGTAATTTATAGCCTTATCATTTAAATCAACCATAAGATTATTAAATATTATTTATTTAGTTAAAATGCAACATTAATACAATACAGTAATGATAGATTAATAACGAATATTTAATACTACTTATATTATAAGTCTTATAATACTACTAAAGTGCTAACAGTAATTCTACTTTACATTGATAATTGCAATTTGCAAACATATAGTATTTGATAATTGGTAACATGATTGTTGAAAAAAACAATAAATTCAAAGTACAAATAGTATTGTAAGTACAATGCAAGTTGTGCAAGATGTATTTTTCACATTTACAATATATAAATACAATATATGATACTCTCACAAACATTAATTGAGTTATTATTGTTTAGTCAATATTATGCAACAATTCTCAAACTAAAAATTTCTTAATTTTTTTTATTATCTAATCATACGTGTGTTCACATAATTTAAAACAATTTAATAGAAATACAATATGGGTATAGAATTCATATAAATTGGTGTCACAAACAATTGGGAATTTTAATTTAAATCAAACACTTCTTGTAGAAGTGGTGAGATATTCAGTGAATGATTCAAAGTATGCGTTCTCTGGATCTCTCTTAAGACGTTTAGATCCGTCAAAATGTTCATTAATTGTGAGAATCGGGTCTTTGCCTCCGATTCTGACCGATATTTGAGTAATAAATAGCGTTGAAGTAAATGCATGTAAATGTGTTGTTGGAGTCTATAAAATAATATTACAATTATTTACTAAAATATAAAGTATTATTAAGTGTTAAAATACTACTTGACAAAAGCTCTATTTGCGAGGTTACACTGATCTGGGTTAAACACCAAGATTGGATACATCTAAAATTAATTTTTAAAATTCCATAAACTTCATAATTAGTTATTTATTATTAATCATAACTTATACGGTATAAGTTATACCAAATCAATGAGAGTGCGATCGGAGTCCCAAACAGTCAACATTTTTGTTACAAAATTTTTATACGAGGTGTAAATATTCTGGTAATTTTTCAAGAAGTCCATGGTTAAAATAATAGTGCTATCGGCGTCCTATAATAAACATGGTTAAAATTCATACAATAATTATAATAAATTTTCATAATAAAGCAAAAACAAAGTGTTATTTCTGGGACACAAACCCCTTGAAGTTGGAGATAATCGGCGGTATCGTTGAGGTAGAGAATGGACCGCAAGAATGTCACTTCAATGCAGCTGTACTTCAATAGTAAGATGCGGTCGTCTTCACAGATGGTGTTAAATGCGGTCAACCCTTTCACAGCTTTGGTCTCATTTCTCACATAATTGTCAAACCTTTCGGTTAATATGAAGTTAAAGCCGTGATTATCATTGATCTTAAACACCGAATTTGTTCCCATTATTGATCCGAATTGAGTCGATTGGATCAGTTCACTGATTATGTACATTTCGGTTTCGTTGAAATCACTTTTGTGGCCATCGATGGGTCGGGCGATGGGTATGACAGGCATCTCATACCCCGGCACTACTTTTTTGCCGATACATTCCGGTGAATAATAATGTGTTAATGAGTTTTGCGTATAATTATCACTGTTTTGTTGATTATCTGTTAAGATATTGTTTGACTGATAATCACAAGTGTTTATTACTTGACTATTAATGCAATCATTTGCGCGAATACTGGTCTCAATGTCTATAATCTGTTCATTGAGTGCATCGACACTAAAATTGTTGTCATCCAGTATTTCACTCAAGAAGTCTGTGTCTAAAGTAGTCGTATCTATTATATTATTTCCAACAAATACTTCCCTGGTTGAATTTGCAGCTTTATTTTTAGCGTGGTTAATTTTTGTTGAATTATTTAAACTATTATTTGGCAACTTTGTTACTTTTTTCAGCTCTTTTTTCTCATCACTCGCTATGAATTCCTGTTTAAATAATCACTTAATTGTTATATTTTATACTAAATTAAACATAATCTAAATACCCGTCTCATTCCGATGGCCAGGCATTTATCAAAACGACATTTTGAGCAAAACCTTCGGGTTATGGTATCTATACTACAATTGTTGCCTAAACGACATTTAAACTGCAATTTCACAGATAATGATCACAATTAATAGTTTTATAATTGTTTTTATAATTAAAAATGCATTTTATATTACTTTGTTTTTCAATGCGTTTCTCCTGAAGAAGGCTTTACAGGGCTCACACGATAGGGCGCCGAAGTTTTTGCCTTTAATTATTATAAATTGCATTCAGTTTTAATAAAATTAGATTATAAAATTTAGGTGCTATTAATTATATTAAATTATATCATTTTTGAAAGTCCAAAATATACACTTTATTTACAAATCATTGTTAACCTAGGGTAAAATCTCTAATAAGTTTACAATATATCATACCCATTGAAAAACCTCCGCAAACGCCACACACTTTATGAATTGATTTTTCACACATTTTTATTTAACTATTGATTTTGTAAAATTCTATTCAACTGAATTGTATTCAACGGTTAAATTAAAAATATACAATACTTTATACATATAAAGAATGTATGAATTATTAATAATTTATTATAAATCAAAAACAGAATTTGTTATTATGATTATTGATGGCGGACTGAGTCGGCAAAAGTCTTACAATTGGAGAAATATTGAATTAATAGTAGATTAAATGTTCAAGGGTATAAAAACAAAATACAGTACATTATACTGTATATCAATCAGTATAAAATCAATGACATAAAGGTGTGCAGGTTTACAATGAAAATTGCAATTGACTTGTATTGCAATTTCCAAAAACGTAATATTTCTTAATAAAAATGCAAGTTACCAGCAATAATTCACTCAACTCAATTCACTCAACTCGTGCAATAATTGTGCTTGGAAATATACTGAAAGTCATTTTACAAAATTAGTTAATCATGCTTAATAAAACAAATTAAAACAATGCTATTCTTTTGAAAAGGCAAACATTTAATGTAATTTTAAAAATTCTACACAAATAACTTTCATCAGAATTTGTATTTAAATTTATTAAACATTTTATTTTAAAATCAATAAAAATATATCATATTAATTAATTGCATTAATTAGCCATAATTAAATTTTAATAAGTAATTATTGTTTTAAACATTGGTAGGAATGGTTTGAAAGTCCAAAATCTCTAGCAGTAGTGGTCCACACATTTCACGGGAAAACTCTCGGTATTGCTGTTTATGTAATTCATTCAATAATTCGCCGCATTTTAAAATAACTATTATTTTATTGTATTTTCTCTCGTATTCAGAGCCATATCTTATACGTAAATATCTTTGAAGTAAATACAGGTATAATTGGTGTTGAAGTCTATGACAAAACACACCATAAAACAAATCACAAATTAAAATACCATATAATGATTGTATTGAATGACTTACTCAACCATATTCTTATTGATAATGTTTGGCTGATGAGGATTGAACAGTATTATGGGAATTAACTGTTTAATAATTACTTATTAGTTAGTATTAATTGATCTAATGATTATAATAATAATTATGGTAATTTTATACCAATTCAATGATGTGTAAATCCTGGTGAAATTCAATTGAAAACGTGTTCAAATATATTTTAAGAAGGTCGTAAAATCTGCCTTTAAATCCTTTGAAAAACTCCAATTTAAGTTCACCCGTAATCCTTCCGTCCTATTGTTAAATGCAATATAAGTTACTTTTAATTAATTAAGTGATCATTAAGTATAGTTTACAGTAAATTTATATTCATAATAATTAGTTATGATTACCCTTTCAATGTAATCCCAACACTCTCTATCGGCGTTATATAATATGGCCGACTTTAATATGCCTGTCTCTACGACGCTATGTTTGACCATGGCTATTTGGTCATTCAAACACTGGGAGGTAAATGAACTCAAACCTTGTGTTTTTGCCACATATGATTGCAGAGCTAGGTCAAAATAAGTGATATTGTATACCATTAGTTCACTGACTGTTGCGGGCATTGAGTCCCGGCTGGCGATCGGATAATCCGATAGCAATCGCCGGTCAAACAATTCAGTGATTAGTTTGCATTCAAACGGATTAAAACTGTATAAACTGTTGATTCTCTCCACAGACTTGTAGTCCATAACGTCAATAGCCATACAACGAGTGTTGGACTTATCATGGGTTGTATCAGATGAAGAATCATCCAGGGTAATTATTGGGCAATTACTCGAGGTATTAGATATGACATTATATTGACTGGAGTTTGTGGTAATATTTTTATCGAGTTGTTTGTTGTCACAAATAATACTTTTGTCACTAATTGTATCAATAGTTTCATTGCATTCATGAGTCGGTTGTAGATTAAGGTTAGCACCAGTTTTCAAGACATTTTCATTGATTTTATTGTCATTAGTATTGCTGTCACAGGAATTGGTCTCAGTTTGTGGTGAATTCTGGTCACCATTTAATGAATTCTTGTGATTACTTTGCTTTCGTTTCCGATTCTCTTCGATCCGATTGTTTCTCATCTTTTTCTGCTCGTCATTGAGTATCCATTCCTTCAAAATTATGGTACAATTATTGTCCAAATATTATATTAATTCCCAATCAATGAATACCTTTTTCATACCGACAGCGAAACACTTCTTGAGTCGACATTTTTTGCATAGTCTTCGTGTGATTTCATTGATATGGCAATTGTCATCAAACCTACACCTGTATGTCTGAACACACATTTTCATATATCATTGAATTGCTTATAACTTCATAATTAATTTTTAAAAATAAATTATAATTTCATAAATTACTGTTAATTTGAATGCATTTCGTCTAAAGAATGCTTTACACGACTGACACGTTAGGGCACAGAAATTAATGCCTAAAATATTTTAATAATTTGAATTAGTTATGTCAACCATGTTAGTTTATATTTTATGTAACAATATAAATACAATTAGCTTCAACGCCGCAGACTTTACAAATTCCTGACAAGTTATCCATTTATTATTATAAACATTAAGTAATTTAATAAACAATTAAAACATTTATTAAACATGTACAAAAATACGGTAACTGTTTTTATTTATAAATTAAAAATTATAACTACAGTAATTAAAAGTGTACCCAATAATACTACAATTCAACCAATGTAACCAACGCAACACTGATAAATAAATATACTATTTATATAATGATTATGGTCAATTGATTAGTACTATAAATATAAGTTAGTATATTATCAATTGACATTTACACGAACTGAAGCACGTTTGAAGTTAATAGCAATTTGTGATAAATAAAGTTTACTTATCAATACAATCCTTATTACTTAACTGTAATAATTATAAAAGATTTTTGTATACATTTTGAATATAAGTTTGTATTTGAAAGAAAATTTATTTGTAATAAACTATTATTATTGCATTCATTTCCTGACATCACTTGTCATTATCTATAATACAGAATCTGTGTTACAGATACTGAAAAAAATAGTTAAATGATTTATAACAATTGATATGTAAAATAATTATCATTAAAATTAGTTTATAATTAAAAGTAGATATTTTTAATACAATTTTAAAATAAATATAAAAACAAATACACATTATAAAGTTAATGCATTATGGTATTACCAATACATTTATTGGTGATGGTAAAATCATTAAAATTATTCCGAACGAATCTGAACGTCAAGAATCTCTTTGAGTACTGGTCCACACATTTCGGGCGAAATCTTGCGATAGTTTTGTATATGTATTTCATTTAGCATTTGAGTGCACTTTAAGATATGTAAAATGTTTGTGTATTTTCTCTCGTAGTCAGTGCCATATCTTATCCGTAAATATCTCTGAAGTAAACACAGATATAATTGGTGTTGAATTCTGTGATTAAATAACAAAAATCAGTCAAATATGTGAAGTGATATAAACATTGTAGTAAATGACTAAGGCTTCCAATTTTCGGGAATTCCCGAATAAAATAGTTAATAAAATCATCGGGAATTATATACCATTAGGTTTAGGGGTTATAATAGATTAAAAATATATAAGTTTTATTTTCCCGATTTTTTCCGATTTTGGCTTATTTTGGGAAAATTCCCGATTTTAGCATATTTTTGGCAAAATTCCCGAAAAGTCTATTTTTATGACAAATATTCCCGAATTTAGATATTTTTCGACGAAAAGTATTTATTTAATAACTATAATATTTCACCAAAACTCTTAATAAAGTTCTAAACTGAATATAACTTAAATTAAAACATGTTTTGTAATCCACAAGATGTCTTACAAAATATACATTGATTATCTCCGTCGAAGTCTAGCGTTCCTTCTCTCAGTTTTAGATTATTCTTAGAGATAGAAGACTGAAAAATGCTCAAACTTCATGTCATTATCAAATATAATTCATTTCTAAATGATTTATTTGTATAATGATTGTGTTATAATTGAGTAAAATCGTATTTCCCGAATTTTCCCGATTTTGGCCTTTTAATTCCCGAATTTGGGTGTTTTTACTCCCGGAAAATGGAAGCTTTA